CCCCAAAACCCCAAAACCCCAAAACCCCATAAGTTGATAGTAGAAAAAAGCTAATGTGAGGTTAAAAATTATTATAATTAGTTAAAAATGTTAATGAAAATATTTTAGAGATAATCTACTTTGATCAACCAATATTAAAAGAGGAATTTTAGAGCAGCGGTTTTACTTGCAGGATGTGGTAATAAAGATGGTACTGATCCTACTGAGGCAGCATCACTTATGATTAGCTTGTCTAAATTTGCGATAAAATATGATACATTTTCTGTCAAGAAAAATCAATAATCAATTGAAAGTCATCTTCCAAATAATAATCAAGCCTCTCTTGATAAACTTGAAAAGAATAAAGAAGATTAATTAAAGGAAGAGAAATAAAAGATAAAGAAAAGAAGTATTTTAGATGAGTCTAATAAACTGGCAAGAGGGCAATTGAAGCTAATACAAGATATTTAATTGTAAGATTACGAAGTACTATTGATCCCTGGAGGAGCAGGAGTTTTGAAAAATTTTTCGGATTATAAATTTGATGGAAAAAGTTTTAAAGTAGAACCCTCAGTTTCAGCTCTAATTAAAAACTTTAATCAGTAAAACAAGTATATAGGAGTTATAGGTCATTCTGCTTTACTAGTATCATAGGTATTTGCTAAATAAATCAATGTAAAATTAGTAATGAATTATGAAGGAGATAAGCAATAATACAATTAAGAGCTCGAACTAATTTCTACTAATGGGCATTCAGCAGAAAGTCCAAATTTTAATTAGATAGTGTATGATGAATAAAATAGAATCATCAGTACTCCTGGTTACTCAAATGACAATCTCTACCCCAGCGATGTTTATGAAAGGATCCACAATCTTGTAAATGAATTATCTAAATTACAAAATCCGACATATTAGCCAAAAGAGCATACAGGATATAGGCCACCCCATCTCAGGAAAAACAATGCAGAGCCATCAAAAGAAGATAAATCAGAGAATTAAGTAAAAGTAAAATTATAGTCAGAAGATAAAACTAACGTGAATTAAGAACATAAGCAATAGAATCAAGAAACTAAAATATAATAAGAATATGGATCAACTCTTCGACTATACAAGCCTCATTAATAAAATAAATTATCATAGAAGGGGAGCAAAGGTGTTAAAAAAGGGAGTGAATGAATTTTACGACTGAAATCTTAATTAAAATTAATCTTAATTTAATCATTCTACTTGAATTCTAAATCATGGGGTTTTGGGGTTTTGGGGTTTTGGGGTTTTGGGG